GATAATGAAAATTCCAAGTACTCAGTACCTTGGGGAAAAAACTGCAGCACTCGGAGTCTTTTTAATGGGTTTACTAGTGAATATTCTGCTCTCAGATATAGTGTTACCATTTTCCCCTTTTTTCTTTTATTTCTTTACCTATTGACATTACTTCAAACCACAGAGATTTATTCATCTTCAAAAATAACTTAGCGATTTTTAAAAACTGATTTTGCACTTTTTAGTGGCAGCATCTTCAAAATATCAATACAAAATTTTAAATTATATAGTTTCAACAGAGATAGCTTCTCACATCTATGTTTCTAAAATACTTACTAAAGAGGGATAGCGTTACAAACAGACCCATCTGCTGTGATACCACTGTTCTCCACATTCATTACAAATAACGTAAGTCAACATCTGTTCATCTGGATTTGTGTTTCGCACCCAACCTGGAAGAAAGAGAGTTCCTCTGGCGATCATAGTGACAGTGCAATCAAATTTTTCACAGCGCCTACACTTTATTTTGTTTGTCTGTGTGCCGTAAATAACTTGTGGAAGCTGATGTTCCTGAACAGATGATTCTGTGTACAGAGCCCTGAGCTGTTTCAGTTCATCGCTGGCCATTTCCATCACTGTCATCTCAGCAAAAGCCTTTGGACTCAAAGTCCCTGAAAAAAGATTATGTTTTAAGTGGCAACTTTTAGGGTTCTTCAGGTTTGAGATTTTGCTTCTGATGCAATTTTTATACTTTTTGTCATTTTTAGCATGAAGAGCAAAAATATGTTCTTCGATTTCTTTAGATAGCTCTAGACATTTATCGGTCTCTTCTTCATCTTTGGCAGAACCAGTCAAAGCTTTGTAAAGAAGATCCGTACATTTACACCTCAGAGCTCTCATCGGATCCTGCTGCAGACTTGCTTCATTAACAAGAGTTTTAGAATCTTCATTATCAGTGTGTTGTTCCTCAAAGGAAGAAAGCTGATTCACGCTGCCTTCTGCGTCATGCCGTACCACGTTTTTAACAGTTTGCGATGGGACCAAAATTTTAGAACCAGTAGCATCTAATGCCTCCCGCTGACCTTCAGACAGCGACTGCTCTCTAGGAACCACACCGAGATGTTCAACTTCCCCTCTCTCATTCACAGAAAGTGATTTTTTAAATCGCAGTGCCTTAACATAGTTATTCTTGTAAAGTGCTTTCCACCTTGATAATAACTGCTTTGCTTTCTTTTTCAGCTCTACTGAAGGGCAGCCCTTGAGTACTCTGTATACAGCCTTGGTGACTTCTGTCCCCTGAAGATACTCTATAGTCATATCAACATCTTCAAGGTCTTTAAGATGATCTTCAATATCTTTGAAATTGTTCTCAGACAGTAGTTTTTCAATACAATGGGCTCTGTGTACAATATTTTTCTGGTCAGACATTTTTAAACCTGAAAGCAAAAAATGTTTATCATATTGATTGCAGTTATGACATTAATTAATTCTCTGTATATTCTCACAAGGTTTTCTTTTTATTTTATGTTACTTTACAGTATTTTATTTGTATGCATCACTGGTTTTGCCAGCTTTTTCTTGAAACAGTGTACAGTAGAGTCAGTGGAGCAAATGCAAAATGGAGAGGAGCCTGGGTCTTGGAAAAATGCAAGCGGGCACACTAGTCTAACTTGTCCAAGGAAAATACTGGCAGAAAGGAGAGCCCACAGGAACTTCTGCTGGGGTAGGATTAACAATTTAAAAAGTAGCATATGACACTAATTTTTAAGGAAAAGCAGAGTGTCTCACCAAAACCCACACTAACAAAGACACTGCTAGCATAATAAAAAAGTTTGTCATCTTTGTTTTCTACGCATGCTCACCACAAAGGAAGTTCACAGGGAGATTCTCAGCGACTACAAGAAGGTAGGTAACTACACACCCGCTCTGCTGTACGAGATCTGTGCATGAGTAGACTCTAATACTGCTGGACTACCAAGAAGCAATGACTTCTGAAATTCATCATTTTTCACCCAAAGCACCAGATGATCACCTGTTGATGTTTAAAATCTAGCCACTGTTATCAAATGATACGCTTTCCAAAAAAATAAAAAGGAGGCTTTATGGGCAATGTAACTCCCCCTTCTTACACATACAGAGAAACAATAAAAGCATTAGTAGGGTTTTTACAGTATTGGTGTCAATATTGAATTTAATAAGAATTCTGGTTTTGGAAAATCAGTTTGGTTTTCTGTCACAGAAATTTAAAGTCTATTAACAACTATGTCTGGGACCTTCTGCTGTAACAGATATTTGAGTAATACAATGAAGTCACACTGCTGAATACATTCTGTAATAGCTTCCTGACAATCTCCAATGGCAGATTTCTAAGCGAACACTGCACAAATTTAATCTGAAAGTTGCAATGCCATGGAAGTTTACTGCAAGACTCCAAACTCAGGGAGATCATTGCTGTCATCCTTGCAGAATGCATATGCAAAATAACCCTCCTCAAAAAAACTGACTTATGCCTCAACTTTCGGGAACCTGTATTTAAACCTCTTTTTCCATTTTTCACAGTTTTCAAGCATCTGACTCCAAATTAACTCAGTACAAGTTGCTATGGTACAGAATAATAGAAAAACCAAAGTGTGTCCAAAAACTCCACATTGTAAGGTGCTTTTTTGGTGCTGGTTTTTGGGGGTTGTGCTTTTGGGTGGTTTTTGTTTTTTTAAAGTCAGTCATTCCTGTAACTATACCCTAATTTACCAAGATTTTTTTACAAATCCTTATAGTAAATGCTGAGATGTTTGGCTATCTGTGGGTTTGTTTTTAATAAAATCTGCAAGTTTCCATTTGGTTTCTTGTAACAAACCCTTTAGTTAAAATCAAATATATAGGTTTTGGCATCAGAAGACTAATTTGGAGTAAGGAGTGCTGTGTAGCACAGCTATGTTCTTCACAGATTTGTTTGGTTTTGCAACTGTATAATGGAGAATCATTGATACATGCAGAAATTAGATATATGCATTAAGAATGACCCATAAAACATACAAAGTTACAAAGTCTTCTTAAACTTGCACACTCACATTGTTTTAGTTAATATTAACTTATA